CTCTAACCCAGGAATGGGCACTTGGTAGAAGAAGGCAAGTCCACACATCTCTACTACAATTGCCCACAACTTAGAAATGATAACATCCTACACCTATGGGTAGATAGCCCTGCAGCTAAAGCCTGGTGGAGGAGGTGCAGTTTGTGCTTGGTGTACTGGTCTGCAGTGATTTTCCCATCTTGGTTAACAGTGACTGTGGAAGTACTAAACATCTGGTTCATATACCACAGACCCCCTTACATTTAGTGTATTTTTTAAAATAAACTTTGTTTTATTTGCTGTGCACTTAAGACATTTTCAAGAGACTCTACATTTCTTAAAATGTTTTTTACCAGTTCTTTTAGAGACTGGGTTTGTGGAGTTTCTCCTATTGTCATGTCCTAAGTCTAAACAAACAAAACCAAAAACAAAGCCAGTTGCAGTGGTATACTCCTGTAATCCCAGAGGCTTGGGAGGCTGAGGCAGGAGGACAGTGAGTTCAAAGTCTGCCTCAGAAACTCATCAAGGTTCTAAGCAACTCAGTGAGAGCCTGTCTCTAAATAAAATACAAAATAGGGCTGGGGATATGGCTCAGTGTTAGAGTGCCCCTGAATTCAATCCCCAGTCCAAAACCAAAACAAATAAATGAAAGAAAGAAAGAAAGAAAGAAAGAAAAAGAAAGAAAGAAAAGTGATTCAAACAAAGACAAATGAAAGTGAACTATGTGTTAAAAAGCCTTCTTGGAAGAAATGTAGTATCAGCTAAATCTTGAGAGGTAGCAATTGTTGCTGGGAATCAAAGGTTCTACTACTCTTGATTCACCAAAGATCTGGAGACAGGTTGGTGAAGGAAAACTTTTCTTATTCAAAGCAGACCCTGAGGAAGATAGAGCATAACTTTTCTGTCTCAAATATTCATCTTTGCAAGGGCTCAGAGGATGCAAACAGCTTATATAAGAGAAGTTGGGGTGCAGAAGGATGAAGGCAGGATATACACCTATGTAGATTTAGCCAGACTGTGCTTTTCTGAATAAGTTCCATTTCATTTCCTTAATGTTGGACCTGGCCAGAAGGTAGTGGCCATCTTCAAAAGGAGGAAGCTTTGTATGCAAAAGAGAAGTTACTAGAAAGTTGTCTTTAATTTTAAAGGGTCTCCCTTACACAAGGAATTCAATAATTAGAAGAGGAAATTATTAAATTATTTTTAATTGTTGAACTACCAGATTTCTTTTACATGACAACCAAGGATACAAAAATTCCAAATATCTGGGAATACTTTACTACCATGTGACTTCATAAGGCAGTGAAAACAGTTCAGGGTTTCATTTCTAAAGTTTTAGGGAAAATACTCTAAAATACTAAATGGAAAAGAAACACTACTGGGGATGTATCTCAGTGCTAGAGCACCTACCTACTAGCATGTTGTGATCCTGTGTGCTATCCTCAGGATGGCAAAAAAAAAAAAAGGACAAAAAAAGAAGAAATACATACAATGCAACTAAATAAGAAGATACTAATTTAGTATCAATTCATTAACTTAATAAATTTGAGCAATTATTAAGTGCACCAAATTAACAAATTTGGGTTAAATGTAGCATATTAATTGCGTACCATTGAATTCTTTACAGCTATGAAAGGTGTATTTAAATTTAATTCTGAGCTTTCCATAGGCCAAACTAAAGAAAAAAATTAAATAATTTTCAAAATGCCTATTGCTATTTATATTAAAAGTAATTATTTGTAGATGTGATAAGAATAATGGAATATATCACTCATTGACAAAACATTCTTGGCCATCTATGATCATCCAAAGTGTTAGAAGATAACACCCAATCCTACCATGCTTCTACCAAAAAAGAAAAAATGGTGATATATTACTATGAGGTCCTGGAATAGATAAATGACACTGTATCCCCAATAGCACTATGAGGAAAGAAGCATAATTTATGTTTAAAATTATCCCAAAATTAGCTCATGGAACTTTTCTCTTCTTTAAATATATTTATTTTTTAGTTGTCAATGGACCTTTGTTTTATCTATTTTTACGTGGTGCTGAAAATCAACCTAGTGCCTTACACATGCTAGGCAAGTGCTCTACCTTTGAGCTACAACCCAAGCCCACTTTTCTATTTTATACTTGAAATTCAGATCCTATTGGTCATCTAGGCCTGAGATCCTAAAATATATTGTAACTGTGAAAGACAAAAAAAAAGAGAAGGGAGGATTAGAACTTGCTCCTTGATATCATTGTCTTTTTACTGAAATTTTACGTGTGTGTGTGCACATGCATGTGCGAAACATGACAAAGAGGGAGGACAAAGAATAACATCTTAATGTCCTATCAACCATGATCATTGACTTTAACTCAATAAGATTAATAACATTTTCTTCACTTCAGGATAAATAAAATAATGTTTAAGATCAGGCTACCTTGAACTTTATATTTTTGAAGAGTATATGTCGATTATTTGCTCTCTGTTCTTTATAATTTATTCAGTCTATCTTGATGGTTGGATAATTATTAATGGAATGGTTAGTTTAAACAAAAGTATTTAACAGAAGATTTCTATAGCTATTTGTATATATGTGATTTGGTATAACATGAAATTGGTATAACATTTCATATTGTAGAAATAAATGAACAGTCAACAGTCTTTGGGTTTTCATACAGAGAATCACAAAATAAAGGCAATCAGTTAAAACAATTTTTCTGGGTTGAAATAGTTGCATAAGACGAATTATGGAAGTTTAACTGCAGTTCTTCAAGGAGGTTGCAAATTACGAATGCAATACTGAGAATATTAGTGGTGATTCAACTCATTAGATACACTCATCCTGGTATTTGTATTCAAACTTCAAATTCTTGTCAAACTTGATACAAGTATTTCTAACAAAGCTAAAAATATTTGATGAGATGATAGTAATTAGTTACCTGAATGTATTCATGTATATGTGTATGTATGTATGTGTGTGTGTGTTTTATAAGACTGTCATTCATATTGTCCTATGAAATTGGCTCATGTTTAGACGGCCAAAATTGCATTTGAGTTAGGATTTAACTGAGCAGTTTTGATGAAGTTATAGAATATTGGAAAGTGTTGATTTCTGCATCTAAAATATGGGGATTCCATTACTTACTTCATGTCTATTTTGTGAGGAATGAATGAGATAGGATTATGTGAATTATTTTGCCTCACATACACACTTGATGTTAATGGTGCTCTTGATGTTGACAACGACAGTAGGAGAGGCCTAGAATGCCTTGGATTTGTCCAATACTATGTGAGCACTTTTATTTTCTTCTCATACAGTATTTGCAATCCGTAAATAAAGAGTTAAGTGGTTGGGCTTCAGTTTCCTTAGGAATAAAATTTGGTGACATAATTTTCACAGGATCCTGGAGATAGTAGGAAGCAATGATAGAATGCCAAACTTCTTTTATTTTTTGCAAACATTACTTGTTTTCTTCCAAGGAGCTTCTATTAAGCTCATGGTCATGGTAGAAAGGGGATATAAATCTTTAAATACAAAATCATGTTGTATTTAAAATGTAAACTTGGCAAGGTTTTGTTGAGTAAATAAAGAATAAAATGTTAGCTACTTGTCTTAGATATACATTATATTTTTATCAGACTTTTCATTCTATCAAAATTAAGGTGGTGCGTGCTTCCTCCCTGAGTAAAGAATGAAATTAATTCATCAAGACATAAAACATCAAAAGAAATGGGTAGTAACACTTGAGACATTTGATGTCATCACCTTGATTTTTCAGGAACTGATGATATGAGCCATTACTAAAGTGGCAGGATTCCATGGACTACAATATTCAGTGCAAATTAGAACCTTTGAGAGCAGCCATGGGAATTAACTGAATCAAGTCTTGAGTTATAACTAGTGGGGTTAATCAGCTGTAAAATTGTGGCATGGATTTGATGACTTGGTGTGTACTTTAGAAACTACTATTATATTTAACAAAAAAAATATCTAAAGGTTGTAGTGACCTGAACCTAGTCAATTGTCAAAAGAATTTTGATGCATCAAATGCAAGCCTGTTGGTTAATATTCAAAAGCCAAACATTTTTCCCTCTTGACTTGCTTATAAATATTCAATGCCACAGAAACACAAATAAATAATTGGCCATCTCCAATGCATTCTGTATAATTTACAACAGATCAAAAGATTATTACATGGTACAGTCAGAGTCAAACTATGTTGCATTTATTATCAGTGAAAAATCATAAGTTGGTGCAAGTCAGCAATTTATTAATGGACCAGATCTGAGTGTGTATAAATTTATGTGTGTATGCATGTGTATGTGTGCATGTTTGTATACGCATGATTTTTTAAATCAAAAGATTTAAGGATTAAGGAATTTAGTACTCATCTGGGAAAATCAGAAGAACAATATTATCTCTTTATGCTGATTAGATTCTTAAAATAACTTGGGCTGGTCCTACCTCAAAATATCCCAATGTCATTCTAATGAAGTAAAAAAAAATCAACAAAGTATGTAATTCCCCATATTTAATTTTATCCATTTTATGATTGTTGAGGACCTCTTCTCAACAAGTGATTTTATTCTGGCCTTATGCGAGGTTTTCATCTCTAATATATGTACAGCCAAAATAAAAGAAGTAGTCGCTCATAATGGGTTGTGTTCTACCCAAGACAAAGATAAACCTTTGTGGCATACAACATTTTTCTATTAAATAATGGGCTTTATCAATAAAATAAAGCTTGTTTTATGAAGGAAAACTCTTTTAAATTCATTCAGATGTTCTTTTTTTTTCAAGTTATGTTCCATCAAATGGTGTTTGAAATAAAAATTTATGTTTTTTTTTTTCTAAGTAGTCAAGCACTTACTATGTTTCTTTATTGAGTGGTCAGACTCCATAATCATCATGTTGCAAAAAAAAAAAGCCTAATTAAGGGAAGTGGAAATAGACACAGAACAGGGAAAGTTGAGTTGCACGGTCAAATGAAATACCATCCATGCTGATGTTATCTTTTCCTTCCCATAGGGAACCACAGTCAGATATCACGAGTACCTGTTGCTATTAAAGTGCTGGATGTCAATGACAACGCCCCTGAATTCGCATCCGAATATGAGGCATTTTTATGTGAAAATGGAAAACCCGGCCAAGTAAATATCTCCATGTTGTTAATGCTGAATATGTTTGTATACAACTGTCTCATATTTAATTAACCTGCATTATAGTGTGCATTTGCATCATTTATGATCTATGAAGTCACAGGCAAGAAATACATTCAATGGGAACAGAAAGGGGATATTTTTCTTCTTGAGATGTTAATTCTCTTCCTACTTAGACCAAATTGGCTCCTAAAAGTGGAACAACCTGCTCTGCCATGAACCTAGAGCCAAATCACTGTCTTAAAATACACGGGGATATGTTCTTTTTTTTTTTTTCTTTTTTTTCTTGGAGTGATGAAGTTTTCATCTTAACCTTCAAATGACAGGAAGCCAGTGAGGAGCTCATGGGGAGGCCATTTTTGTTTTATCAAACATGAATAGCTCATGATAGTGGACCCCAAGAAGAACAGTGGAAGTTGTAGGAAGTGAACATTGAAATCTGTACAAATGTAGTTATGTCTGCCTAAGATGCGCAATAGTTTTTAGACATGCATGTGAAGCACTTAAGAATTGTGTATTGAGGGAACTTTTATTTATTTATTTTTAACCTGCCTCTGTAGCATAGATAGGGACCATGAAGATAGAAAAAAAAAAAGAAAAACAGATGAAAAATTGGAAAGACTGGAAGGAAAGGACAAAGGAAGGAAGGAAGGAGGGAGGAGGAGGGAGAAAAGGAGGAAGAGGGAAAGGGAGGGAGGGGGAAAAGGGGAAGAGTTTAATCAAGAAAGAAGAAAAACAAAAGCCTGCTATACTCTGAATGTCAAAATGGAAAGAACCTATGTAAAGTTCTATGTAATAGATTTATTTTAACAAGGTGCCAACGTACTGTATGTTTAAGAAATTTATCATTTTTCAACTTCCTAATTTATTTCTGGATGGTGACATTTTAATTTAAATAAACAGCAGCTGACAGCATGACACTGGAGTTGTTAATCCAACTATTCTTGTGCCTCATGTGGGTGTTAGGAATTAAACTTACTATTTGCCAAGCAGCTTACCTGACAAAAGTCAAATTTTTTTTTTTTCCTAAAGAAAGGAGTAGCACTGTAGCTCTGTTTTTTTTAAGAAAAAAAAATATTGCAAAGGATGAATGTGTTACCTTCCCATAAAGCTGTGGGCATTTCCCCCCTAGACTTGTCTCATGTATTTGAAGGACTAGAATTGTGTCCATCTACCAAAATCTGACACTCCCCACACACAATAAAGCTAAAATCCTAATAATAAAACTGATTAATTTTTAAACATATAGACATCGTGTCCTTGTCAAAATATTCAGTTTAGAAACCATACACTTCTCTTCATAATATTCTAACGATAATGTACATGTTTCTTAACTTTACCATGTGGACTTGGCCTTTATCAATCATATTTTTGAGCATCTTCATTTGTGATTCTTTGAGGATGGTGTGAGGTGTTTATGGTGTGAGGTGTTTATGGTGTGTGTGTGTGTGTGTGTGTGTACACATATATCAGTAAATCTCATTTAGATATGTTGGTGGAATGAATTGGCATAGAGAGTTTGATCAAAATATGACAGGTTAGTTTCAAGTGTATCAAGGGTATGGTTGTTGTGTGGACCAGAAAATTGCTGAGCTAATGTAGTCAATCACAGATATTAGCTAGATCTTTGTGATTACACAAAATCTTTACAGTACTTTAGAATTTAAATAAAACTTCATTGCTCATGCAGAACTCATCACACAAGTTCACAGAGTCAATGACATTGACATTTTAAAAACTCAACATTGGCTTCACTTGTAATATTGACAAGCATGCTTTTTTGAATCTCTAGGAATCTGGAGGTTTGCCCTGTGGATTTTGAATGTTTCCAAGGTTTTAATGATTTCTCAGCAGTTCTTCTTATCTTCAGAGAAAAAAAGATACATTGTTTCCTTACCATTTCTATGCAAGATCAAAATAAAAAAAAATTGTTTCTTTCTTTTATGAACTTCACAAATTGAAATGAATGGCTCATTCTGTAAAGAAATGCTTGTGTTGTATGTGTGTGTCCACTGCACCATGATATCCCCTGATGAATCTATTTAAGCATGTTTGGTAGAGGTTGTTTGTTACATGAAAATATCAGATTTTTGACTGTTTATCATCACCCATGGACCTATGGCTGACTAGTTGAGGCATTTAAAATTGTTTATATAACTATCTTCAATTACTTGAACTCTTTGTGTCAGCCAGAACTCATTTTTGATTCTTTAAATCATTATTAGGTCACTTCTGATGCTCACATACATTGCTTTTATATATTGAATACTTTTCAAAATTCCTATTTGCTATTTACACAAAGCAGTTTTCATTTTTAAAAGTTAGACATAGATACACTTTAATGCCTCTCATAATGACACCACACAAATGGGTGAATCACTTTGGAATTAGAATATTTCTTTTTAAAAGATAACAGTCATGAAAAATAATGTCCACACTGACTTAGCCTTAAACACATAGTTATTTCAATAATTTTCAAGAATTAACGTCTGCTTTAAAATAACCTCAGAGTGAAGGTGACATTCAGATGTCTTGTTTGTCTGTAAGATATGGATTTAAGGCTAAGCCCAAAAGAAATTAGCTTCCTGGGAAAAGATACAGATGGAGATTTTTAGCAATAATCTAGTTATTAAAACAAAATTCCAGTCTATATCAACTTTTGGGCTGTGAGGACCTATGTAAAACATCTTAGAAAATGAAAACTAGTATCAATAAAAACACAGAATCTATTGCAATTTTTTCTTCTCCACAGAATTGGACTAATTTAAACACTCTCAGGATTTAAAAGAAGGAAAAAAAGCAAGACCTTGTTGGTCCCATGTGGTCATTTATCTCCTGTTCATGATGTAACTGTGTTAAAAGAAGTATAGGTATACTTTGAAAGTGGAAATGGAAATCATACCTGCCCTACCACTTTCTCATGATTCTGGAGCAAAAGGTGACATCCTTTGAATTTTCTCCCTCAAAAGAGTAATAATCATGGTCAGAGGGAGAGAGAGGTCACAGTCCACTATATAACATCTATCTGAATCCCTCTTAAGTTAAATCTTTTTAAGTAACCCTTCTGTGAGATCATTAAACGTTACTATAGCATTTTATGATTGCTAGAGTCTTCTATTTGAAACAAATATCTAGTAATTTTAGATGATTTACTTTAAGTCAAAAGATAGGACAGGGTGTATATCTACTGTAGAGTCTCATTCAACAATTGGCCCCCGTATATCTTCTATGAATTGCTTGGTTCTAGTTTAGTAACGTAGATTAAAATAAAACATATTAAACTTATGCTTCTGTGTACCCATGACAAAAACTGGAGTGTTTATTGGAGATTCCAAATTTAGAAAGCAAAATATATGTCTGCCACATCTTGTGTCCGATAGTGTGATAGGTCATTGATTACCAAGTATGTGCCAGGACTTGGGTAGGCACTGGAAGTTTAGTTTCATGTGACATGAAAAAAAAAATCTCTTTTCATCATAGAATGTTCTACGTGGATAGATTAGAAATGATATATTTTCAAGAAAATGCCTCAAGTCCTCCAGCCAGAAAGGAGACTGAAGGGTTATGGGGAAATGGAGCTATCTCAAGAAAAGATTTCTCAATCCAGGACATGTTCCACCAGGGAAAGAATGTTTTTATTAAAATAATAGTCTGAAGAGACTGACAATCTGGCTGGACAAACAGGTAACAAATGTGAAGAAATGGGTATCTTTCCTCGGGATGCTTAACAACACCACTCTCAGAACCAAACATGAATGGAGGGCCTTTCAAAGTTCTGTTCTACATCTCATCTCCTGAACAGGATTTGCTAGGGTTTTATTTCAGATACTCACATCTTGCTTACCATATATAGAATTAGGTTGACTTGCGTCAAGTTACTCATCGGTAGGGGCTAAACCGAAGACTGTCTTTCTATGTGTGAGTCAAGGGCTCTTGTTTAGTCTCAGAGAATATTCAATGTTTGAAAGTTAATTAGGTGACAGACATCTGGAGGTCTATTTTTCCTCCAAGAAAGAGCTTCCCCCTTTACCATAAATAAATCTAATGAAGTATAATTTGGGCTTCATCACCATCCAATACTTAGCTGAGATCAGTTGTTTAGTGTCAAGTAATTATATCTGGGTTTCATAAGAAGAAACCAAACCAACGAAAAAATCCTTTGGTTTACCTTCTCAAATATCATCTTTTTTATCTCTGGGCAGCACTGTACAATATAAAGTGTGTTTATTGTTGGGATATAACAGCACAATACATGCATATGTATATATTTTTTCACCCATGTGATACATATCTGGACAATATTTGGCACATAAAAGATATTCATGAAATTTTAAAATTGTTTCTAATTCATTTCAATCAGTAATGACAAATATTTTAAGACTTAATTTCTTAGCTATTACCATGGAAACAGTTGTTTTACTCATGCACAGCATACATGCTCACTTCTTAGGATAAAAAATCGTTCACTTATTTATTGAACAATATTATGCATCTACAAGATGCTAATCATTGTAATATGATCTGGGGAAAATATGAAAAGATAAAAAAGTATTCTTATGAAGCTTAATGAGGAAGATAGATTATAAAAAGTGTAGAATGAATAAATAATATAATTTAAAAATTTGAAAACTGGGTTGAAATAAATATTAAAGCAACTAGGTAGAGGAGAACCAAGAAGTTACAGGGAGAGAAAATTACTTTGTAAGTGGGCATCATTTAAACTGAAATTGGAAAAATGGGAAAGGACAAGGCATGAAAGGACCCTTCTAGCCAGAAGTATCAGCACATGTAAAGACCCTGAAGCAAGAAAGACCTCGGTTTGTTTGAAGAACTGAAGACATCTCTGGCTAGATTGCAATAAGCGAGAATGAAATTGGACAGAATGAATTTCATGTCCAAATCAAATATGTACACACACACACACACACACAGACACATTGTAAAGGAAGAAACTTTAGGAGACTGTAACTGTGAAAGATAATGGTAGTTTG